TGGGAAAAGGAAGAAGCTCAGTGACGAAGAAGAACATAGGATGCACTGCAGTTAGGCAGTTAAGTGTTGGATTCTGACTGACATTTGCTAAGAAGTGAAAAGCCAGTGGACGCGGAAAATGACAAGTTCTCCACACGACATCCCGGGTGATTTTTTTCCACCATGGATGGAAATATGCAAACCGAACAATATATTCGTGTTTCAGTTTAAAAATTTGAAATTTTGAACTTCGAAAGGTGGAGAATGAACATTTGCAAAAAAAAATTGATAAAAATTTACGAAGTTTGAGATTTTCAGCGTGCACTCGTCGGAAGATGCTTTTTTCATTGGCCCCTCTTCCTTCCTATCTTCTACTGAGGGACTCTGCTCCCTTTTCCACCTCCGCTGCTCCCTTTTCCTGCGCTAATCGGACAAAAGAAGGGACCATCAGTTTCAGTAGCCCTCCCGGATTGTCCACGTGCAGCCAATGACCAGCCTTCTCCAGGACGTGGTAACCGATGGTACCGGGGCGCTGATGAAAAGGGATAACATCTTTGACTTTCCTCAAAGGTGCATCTCGTCTCGCAGCAGCCTCGAGCTCGGCTACGACATCTGGAAGCCACCTGTCGCTCCGCGCTGCTCGCACAAAGTCTATCCTCGTTCCTGCGGGCGGCTTTTCGAGAAGAGCCATATAATTTTCCCTCCTGTACGACTGGAACATCTCCGTGACTCCAGGAATATCGAAATTCCACGCGACTTCCTCTTTCTCAGGGTCTATTCTGACCAGATTCGTCCCGAGCCACTCCGCAAGGCCGACGGAAAACCCCCGTTCCGTAATATGCTCTTGAAACCACCTTCTTGAAGGCATGGGATTGGGGAGGCCCTCCAATACACTAAGCACTCTTTCCACGCTTCCTTTGCACTCGGGGTCGGGAGCAGGCCCCGGACCTGGAATAGAGTCCAGAACCCAGACCTGCTGAGGCATCTGTGCAGCAGCCAGCTTCCCGTTTGTCTCCTCTGCCAATGCCTGAGTATATTCAAGCACAACCTTTCCTCCAAGCGAATGGCCCATTACGAGCTCCGGCCACTGAGACTGCGTGCCGTGCCGGAATAAGTCGATGAGATCTTGGCCTGCGGCGCGAATGTCGTGTGGAGGATCGAACCCCGGAAGTCCAGTCGATCGCCCATGATTGCGCATATCCACAAGCAGAAGCCGCCACGTCGGGACCACAGGCTTGTCCCCATCGCGCCGTGTCTCCTTAATTGTCTGTGTGACCGCAGCCTCCGCTATTGCTCGCGACACTGTGCGCCAGTTGCGGCCGGAACCAAATAGCCCATGCACCACAAGGGCGGTCAGCGTTATCCGTCTTTCGCCTGTTCCCTTTCTTGACGAGGATGCCTTGGGCGCCGAGGGGGCAACCTCCGCCTCTTCTGTGTCAGCTGCAGCATCTTCATGCATGCCCCGTCCACCGCGGACCCTCCGCACCCCCTTGGGGCCAACCTCATACTCCTCATAAGCAAGGGAATGCATCGAACGGAGGTATCGAGAAGACATTGACGTCCTAGGAGAACAATAGAGAGCACACGCTCCATGCGAAACAGCTGAGTGGGGACGAAAGGCGGCCATGTGGTGCCAAGCCCTGCTGCTTAAAGAGCAGTGCCACGCCTCCTGAAGCTGCATCAACAACTTGAAGCAATCAGACATGTTGCCAGCATTCCGGTCAACCGGTTGACTTGCCTGTGGCCGGGCCGTGCTCTTCGGCATTTTCTGCCGACATTTATCGCTGGGCCAACGAGGTGACCATGCACGATTGACGGAGGCAGAGGTTTCAGCAGAGCTCATTCGCAACCAGCCCTCCTGCGCCACTCCACCGCTCACCTCGTACCTGTGGCACACGGACGAACATGGGCGATCGTCCGAATCCGCAATGAAAGCCCGCGTGCTTGCCGCCAAGCACCCTATCTTCTGCAGTTCTACGGCATTGGCGATGCAGCATTCTCCACGACGGCGATGGCCATAGGCGACCATCCAACTGCCACTCCAGGCAGCCTGCAAGGTCTTGCGACCGCATGCCATCTCCCGCCACACCATGATGAATCCTTATAGCTTACGGATCTACTGAAAAACATTACTAGCCGTGGCGGATGTGCCGGTGAAGAATTCCACCGCGCGTCAGATGTACCAGCCTACCTGCACCCTGTTCAATTTGTTCATAACGCGAGCATCTTTCATCAGAGCTTCATAAACTGTGGCCCCATTTCTATTCTATTTCAATTAACGCACACCAAAAGAGAGAAAAGGACACGAAATGTGGGGCTGTGACAGTGTTTCGTCGCCCCCATTTCTATTCTATTTCAAATAACGCACACCATACATAATAAGAAAGACGGTATCCGCCGGTGAGTAAGCAAGTAGATGGCGAGCCAAGGCCGAACAAAGATGGGGACTGGAGAGAGGTCGTTTCTTTGATCAGGTCGACCAGACCAGAGTCCAAGCATACCGCTACCGATACTTACGAGAACAATGATTGACTCTTCTTTAAGCACAGCGTAAGCAAATTCCAAATTCCACTGTGTCGGGATACCACAAAGGTTATTAACTAACCAGGAGATTCACACATCACCCAAGCTGTACTCCTGAACCAGTCCAGCTCGGTCAGTGGCAGTAACCTTTAAGAGCACCCCCTACCATGGGTGCTTATGATTTCACCACCCATCTGTGCTGGCTGCCCACAAAGCAAATGTGCCCCATCAATGCCATCATCGATGCCATCATAAATGCATCATCGATGCCATCATAAATGCATCATAAATGCCATCATAAATGCACCTCTCTGCACTGTTGCCAGCCATCCTCAGATGAGGGGTGTGCTGGTCTGCCTGCAGCTGGTTAGCAGCTGCCCTGTTCTGTCCAAGGTACTTTCCCATCTGTTCCTTGTCAGCATATCTCTCCCTTGTGCTGCATAAGAAGTATTCTCTCTCAATCAGAAAATAGGCAATTCTTCGCATTTCCAGGTTTCTCTTTACACTTCGTTTTTCCTTTTTCTGGGTTTAACGATAAAAGCAAGCCGCCTCTCTCTCTCTCTCTCTCTCTCTCTCTCTCTCTCTCTCTCTCTCTCTCTCTCTCTCTCTCTCTCTCTGTGTGTGTGTGTGTGTGTGTGTG